CCACTCCAGAGGCAAGAAGAAGAAGGGCTGGCCAAAGGAAGCCTGCACGGAAGCAGTCACTGCTGAACGACCAAGCCCAGTGAGAAGTAGTGCCACACAGGCTGGCCCGATTACCTGCATGCATAAACGATGCCACATGGGCTGAAAGTCGGTAGATATAGTATGCAGATACACCAAGAAGTGGTATTCTTGCCAAAGTTGGTGGTGGATGCATGGTGTTGAACACGGGTTAGTCAAATTTAGATTGAAAATATGAACTTGAATAAAAATGAAAGAGAGGATGAATAAAGGTTTCTCCTAACCGGGTTTATTAAGCCTACTTCATACATGGCAACCCTTGTTCGTTTCTCGTTTAGCCTTTATTAAATGTCTAAAATATAGTGTGTATCCAGTCTTACATTCCTTTAGAAACAGCCATTACCTGGATAGCTTTCAGTAGAATGGAAAACATAAAGACAGAAACGACTTTACTTGGTGACAATTGGCCGCAGCGACTGGGGTTGCAAAGACGTTTGTCATATTATCAGGGTTTCGCTAGCACGGGGCTAGTCATTTCGGGTTGTCAATGCTCCACGGACATTGGGACTCAGCATGATAAATACATTAAAAAAGTCTATGCGGGTCCCCCCGCCTCTTGTAGGAAATAAAAAAAGGATCATTCCAAAAATGATTGCCCTTTGCCAGAATTGAACTGACGACCTTTGCTTTACGAGAGCAACGCTCTGCCTCTGAGCTAAAAGGGCCTGGATCTGCTTTCGGAGCTGAATTTTCCAAGATTTTAAATTTCGTAAAAAAGATAACTTACTTAGACCTTTATCAGGGTACTTCTGCTAGGCGTAGGCGGCGCGACTATTCACTTTCCTCTAGAGTATCCGCAGGGATCAGCCGGTGCCGGCTATGCAGGTGAGCCTCACCAACGTCATTGACGGCTTTGGTGAATGACACAACAGCATCCCGAATGCCGACGCGATCCACGGTTTCGCTGTCTGGGAAATCTACCGATCACACATCGAACTTTCTCAGGATGACATCCGCCGCACAGGCGACGAAATGTTTACCTGCTGGAAATCGACGGTTGCCCTGCGCATCCTACAGGACTTCAACTACTTCTTCAATCGGGAAAAGGCGGCCCAACTCTTTCATGATCGCTGGTTAAAGGTGTCAAAATGGTGGTACCATTTTGAACCCGTCCTGAATCACCAAACGAAAGATGGAATTAAACACATTTATAACTAATCCCACTGTTAGCGCTTAGACCTGGTGCCAAAATGAAAAATAGACATCTACTCTTACGGTACGCAGCAACACCAGACCGGGGAGGTATCAAATACGAGCGTGAAGCCTTTGTTCATTGTTAATTCCAAAGCCATAGATAATAAGAAAGAAAAGAAGAGGGAAGAAAAGAAAACGCACCCCAGTTAAAGACCCATCTGCGCGTACATGTCGTCAAGCTTCTCGGCGTTGTGGTCACGAATATCAGGGCGCTTCAGCTTCATGGCGGGGGTGAGTCGTTCGTTTTCGGGGGACCAAAGCTCGGGGTCGATGCGGATAGCAGCAAGGGTTTCCTGTTTGGCCAGTGCGTTGCGTTTGGCAACATGCTGGAGGTCGGCCAGAACAGCACGGATAAAGTCTGGATTTGTTGCGATCTCGGACGGGTTGTTGTAGTCGACGCCAGCGCTGTCCGCCATTTGAGCGATCTGGTTTTCGTCAATGTTGACGATGGCGCAGGGCTGCGTCATGCGGCCGTCGGCGAACACGCAAACATTGTGGATAAACAGCGAGTTCTTGTACGTCGACTCGAGCGCTTCGAGCGCAACGTATTCGCCAGTGGCAAGCTTGACAAGGTTCTTTTTGCGGTCGATGATGGAGAGCTGGCCTTGGTCGGTCCATTCGCCAATGTCGCCGGTCTTCAGCCACCCGTCCTCGGTGATTGTTTCGCGCGTCAGCTCCTCGTTATCCAAGTATCCTTTAAAGATCGACGGGCCGCGCACCCAGATTTCACCCTGTCCGTTCCTGGCGTAGTAGTTGGCTTCTGGGACATCGACAAGTTTCATTTCGATCGACGGGCACGGGGCGCCGACGTTGCTAAACGAGGTGTCGTCGGGAAGCTGCACGGACACAAGTCCCGAGGCCTCAGTCAGGCCAAAGCCCTGGATCATCGGGCATAACGCAGCGTTGATCAGCCGTTGGACGTTGTGGTTGATCGGGGCGCCGCCGGTGATGACAAACTTGAGGTTTCCGCCGGTAGCCTCGCGTGTCTTCTTAAACACAATGTTGTCCATAAAGTTGTGCGGAAGGCCATGGCCGCGCAGGGTGTTCTTGAGCTCGACGGCGCCGTAAAAGAGCTTGCGCACAAGCCAGCTGCTCTTGTCAACTTGCTTCAGCATGCCTGCACGGATGGTGTTCCACACTTGGGGCACACCCATCATTACGGCCGGGCGAAGCTCCTTGATGTCTCCTTTGCATTCGCGCACGCTCTCGTCGGTGAGCGTGCGTGGGGTGCCATATCCAACGCGGATTCCAGAGGAGATGCAGTAGGTGTCGACAAAGAACGCTAGAACGTGGGAGAGCGGGAGATACGAGAGAATGGCGTCCTTTCCGTACTCGATAAAGGGCTCGATAAACTTGTGGATCCCACCGGCTACGGACATGACGCTCTGGTGGGCGATCAGCACGCCCTTGGGGCTGCCAGTGCTGCCGCTGGTGTACATGACAAGCGCAATGTCCTGCGCCTGGGGAATGACCAGATCAGTTGGGTTGGCAGCGCCAAGATCGCGCAGCTCATCGAGTGTGTGCACGGTGTATTTGGTCTTTAGCTTTTCAATCGCCTCCTCGCAGCCATCAGGCATTCCATACAGGTCTCTGTAGTAAACAACGTGCTTCAGAGTCTCGACCTTGTCCATGATACGGGCTAGGATTGGGATCTGGTCCGCCTTGAGGAATGCGGCATCGACCTTTGCCTGGTTCATAGCATGCAGCAAGCCGCTTTCTCCGAGGGTGTCGTAGGCCGTTACGACTTGCATAGACTGCGAAAACACGCCTACAAATAGGATAAGGCATTGACAGAAGAAGAGAATGCGATTGTCAGTCACCAGAAGCAAAAACAAACAAGCCAACAAGAAAAAAAAAACAAGAATCAACAAAGAAGCCCCCCTCCTCGCCACACTTTGGCAGCCAAACAAATAATAAAAAAAGATACATACCGAAAGCACACACTTGCCACTCTCGCGAGGTTGGGGCGTAGATGAGGACTCGGCTGCTGGATTCCAGGCCGAGCTTGCGGAAGCCAGCACCAAGGTCCTTGGTGTAGTCGGCCATCTGCGAGTACGTCATCCACTTGTACTCGCCGAGTTTAAAGTAGCTCCATTGCTTGTTCTCGCTCTCCATTTTGCCGTTGACCTTGTGCTGCACAGTCTTGTTTTCCGTGACGATGCCTATGACGTCGCGCTTGCCAAGAATGTCATTGTTAGGCCGGGTCTTGTTGGCGTGGAGCAGCGCCGAGTAGATATCGGTGATGCCATGGTCGGCGCAGTCAACGATCTCGCCAGCTGTTGTATGGAAGCGGCGCGTTGGCGTCTCCGTGTCGCTGCCCGTGTTTGGGACAACCTTGGAATAAACAGTCATTTCTACGAAAATAATAAAAATAAAGAGAAATTTCTTAAAGATAGTGTAAGAGGTGGAATATAAGATAAGCTGGTATTGGGGGGGGCAGTTGCTTTCCTAAAAAAGAACCAAAGAAAGAAAATGAAAACAAGGGGTAAGGGAAAACCGGTTGATATACAAACTAAAGGCCGCAGAAAGAAAGAAGGAAAAAAAAAAAAGAAAGAGAGAGTAGAGAAAGAAAGCGTTTGAAGGCTTTAAATAAATTTAGCCATGTGGCCCAGCAGCGGGGGAAAAGACGCCTTGCGCATTCGTCGACAATGGCCATTTACTGCGCGTGTGCACAAAAACATTTTGTTGGTTTGATGCCAAGCAATTTCTGGTCCAAGCGGCAAGCGATAGAGCGGCGGGCGGACATATCCTTCCTCTCTTTGTAACCGAGATTTTCCCCCATTTCGGTTCCGCACGCCCGAGGGAAAAAAAAAGAAAGGTGCTTTTTGTGTTCACCTTGCGGTAGATATGCAGAAGAAAACTTCCACGTACTTCCCAAGGTCGTCATGACAGAGTTGCAGATCTTTCTTCTCCTTTGCAGGGTCACATCTGGCTCAGATGACAGGCGCCTTACGTCATTCAGCTTGCCTTCTAGTCAACGTGCAACGGCTGCTGCTCGCCGTCTGGTTTCGCAAACTTTGCAAACATCGTCTTGAATATGTTCTGTCGCGTCTTCCCGCGCACCGACGCGGTTTGGGCACTTGGAAGCGCTGTATCTATGGGCACAAGCGACACAAACAGCGCGAGCGGCACCAGCCAGACGCAAAAGAACATGAACGAGCACACCTGCGAGAACGGGAACGACAGGCGCTGGATAAAGTAAAAGAACCACAAGAAGTGGTTTCCCACGGCAAGTGCGCAGCTGCCCAGGAATTTCGCTCCCCCAAGATTCACCAGCGGGAAGCCCTCGAGATTCGTCGCGTAAATGTGGTTAGCGCCTACGGATATCAGTATCCGCCACACGCTGAGCCCGTCGATGGCCATCAGCGCCAGTACCACGTCGACGCCCCATATCGTGTATCGCAGCAGCTGCCGCGTCGTCCGCGGGTGCTCCTCGACCCACTCGGACAGCACATACAACCCACACCCGACTGCAAACAGTAGGAACAGCACTCCTGCGAGCCACCCGACAGTCACCAGTGCCGCAAGAAACGTCATTACTATTGTCTAGAACCGAGAGGATAACGTGAGTAAATGCATATAAACCAGAATTCGAGCTGGATTTGAATATCCCAAAAAATAAAATAAAATGAAAAAGTAAAAAAATCATTTTTCTTGCTCTTGCCCTTTCCTTCTTTCGTGCTACATTTCCCCCTTTCTTTTTTACCACCTATGAAAGCCACACTAAGATCTCTGTCGCGCAAACACTACACGCTCACCAAACACAGGTCTCTAAGCACGGGGGCTGTGCGTGAGGCGCAAAAGTCGTTCCTGGACACGCCGTATCCCAGCGTATACGAGTATTCCACCAAGAACTCTGAGCAGGAACCACACGTTCTTCGGGATATCCGTGAATCGACCATGAGGCGTGACCCAGCAAACGCTTCTAAGATGGTCTCGCCGCTGCAGGGCGCATTCATGGCCCACCTGGTGCGTATACAGAAACCGCGCCGTATCCTTGAGCTCGGCTGCTTCACCGGGTACTCTGCCGTATGGCTCGCGCACGGCCTGCGCTCCTGCCACCATCAACCCGGCGACTCGCCACAGCCCCATCTGTGGACGTGCGAGAACGAGCGACACATTGCCGCCATTGCCGCCGAAAACGTCATAAAGTCTGGCTTCTCTGACTCTGTGACTGTCCTTGACCGCACTGCCGACCACGTCCTTACTCACTGGGACCCCGCAAAAAAGCTTGATCTGGTTTTCATCGACGCAAACAAGTCCGCTTACTCCCGCTACTACGATCTGGTGCTCAAAAGAGACCTGCTTAGCGAAAACGGCCAGCTTATCATTGACAACGTCCTTCTCAATGGCAATGTGCACGCTCGCTTCAAGTCGCCAAAGCCGTCTATACTGACCAAGCTCCGCAACTTTAACCCCTACGTATCTGAGGATCCTGAAACAAATAGCGTCATATTACCAGTCTTTGACG